TTGGTTTGTTATGCTAAGATGGTTTGAATGATATACAGGATTAGTCCCCAGGGGTCATCCCGACCCCCTGCCATTTGAGAAAGTTCTAATATCTTGTAAATGGTCACGATCCCCACCCCCAAACTATATATATTCTGGTTTGTCATGATAAAGCACATCAAATGTAATACAGGGTTAGTCCCCAGGGGTCACCCTCACCCCCTGCCATTTAAGAAAGTTCTAATATCTTCTAAGTGGTCAAGATCCCCACCCCTAAACCATATATATTCTGGTTTGTCATGCTAAGATGGTTTGAATGATATACAGGGTTAGTCCCCGGGGGTCATCCCTACCCCCTGCCATTTGAGAAAGTTCTAATATCTTGTAAATGGTTGAGATCCCCACCCCTAAACCATATATATTCCTATTTGTCATGTCTCGAACATTTGAATGACTTATACAGTCAGTCCCCAGGGGTTCCCACCACCCCCAATGTTCTAATATCCTTTTTGTAAATGGTTGAGATCCCCACCCCTAAACCATATATATTCCTGTTCGTCATGTAATGAACATTTGAATGACGTATAGGGCCAGTCCCCAGGGGTTCCTCCCCACCCCCAATGTTCTAGTATCTTGTAAATGGTCGAGATCCCCACCCCTAAACCATATATATTCTGGTTTGTCATGCCAAGTTGATTTGAATGATATACAAGGTTAGTCCCCAGGCATCACTAATGCATATAACTTTACTGGACCTAACCAATTTTCACTGGACGTTGCCCAATGTCAGGCGACCCTGGGAATTACGAATTATGGGAGCTTCGTTTGGGAGACTTCGTAACAGCATCCTGTTACAATCATTTCTTGTTATGTTTACTTTTATCTAGATCTTGCCTGAGGTGATCGACAAGTTGTCTTAGTGCTAATTAATTTTGTAAGATTAGAATGTTTAAAGGTTAACATTAGCAATCAATACTGGACAATTGATGTCTCAAATTAATTACTCGACGATCATTTAAAAATTCAACAAAATTTATTAATGATTTCATTACACATTTATATCAAATCTATTAAAATTGAAAAAAAAAGGTCCAGGTAACCGGTTTGTGATTTTGGTTTTAATTTTAATTTTAATTTTCCTTAATTTCCATTTGATTATTATTTTAAAAAAACTAAGAGAATGCAACTTATATCAATCAATTTGACATATATTTCATTGATTTCATTAGATGTTTGCTTTCTTGTATATTTGTAACAATCTGATGGCATTTGATTCATTTGTGTTGGGTATTAGAAATTAACATGTAATATAATGTTGAATTTGCAATTTATATATTTATACATTGATTGAATGTTAAATTTTAGTTGTTTATTCCAAAGCTTTATAAACTTCAGATATAAACAAATATATTTTCAGATGCTCCAGATAAAATATTTGCATATGTGAATGTGAAATCTACACCAGAAAATTTGCAGAAATGTAAGTATTTTTGTCAAAACACTGTTCATCAAATGTGGTACAGTGGAGTAACAAAAATTTGGTGATGTACCAGTTTTCAGGGAAGGTATCAGAGTAAACACGAAACTAAACATTTAAATAGAAAAAAAAATGATACTTGATAGTTCCTCTTTTTAGGTAAATGGATCCTCCAAATAGACATACCTCTTATACCATAGTCATAAAAATCATAGTGTATTGTTTTGTTTGTATAGATTTCATACTGCCCATAAAGGGCCCTTAATTGGAACCATAAATGTTCTTATTCATTTATCACAAACAGACATCTATTTGCAGGATTTTCAGGTCTAATTCAACTTTGAGATGTATATTGAAATATTTAAAGGAACATTTATAGCTGACTATGTGGTATGGGTTTTACTCGTTGTTGAAGGCCTTACAGTGACCTGTAGTTGTTAATTTCTGTGTCATTTGGTCTCTTGTGGAGAGTTGTCTCATTGGCAATCATACCACATCTTCTTATTTTCATGGTAATGGTGAGTCTATATAGTTTACAAATCTGAGGTTTTTTGTATCCCAATACATTTTTAAAACGGAAAATGATATACAGAATTTAGTTTTTGAAAGCTAGAAATGATCATTTTTGAACACAATGTTTTTTATCATGTTTATAGGTATATCTCTGTATGACAAGACAAAATGGAAAGGATCAGAACTAAGGTTACAGTTGGCGAAAGAGAATTTTTTAACAAGGTTTGAGGTTTACCAATAAAGGTGCTTGCCTTAAATAAAACATTTCAAAATTTAAAATAATTCTAATATGAATTGCATAATGGGGAATCCTTTATTATGCTTGTTTACATGCCCTTCTTTACCTTCTGTAGTGATTATTACGGTTTATTTTTAGATGGACTGTTATCATCAAACAACTTTTTAAAAAGTAACCAATATAAACAACATGGTGGCTTGAATAGATAGCATACAAACATATTTTACAATTGATGTTTATTGTTTTTAAAAAAACAAAAAAGAATTATAAGAATTATAATTATCAGAAGAATGTGTATAATCCTATTTTAGAGAATAATTGAGGTAAATGTTATGGGATGCAACCAAAGAACACACTAGCAGTTGCCTGTTTAGGCTATCACACATTTTTTCTAAATCAGCATTGGTTACTTACTGGTTTTACAACAACATCAAAAGTGAATCGTGCAGATTTTTTTGCAAATATTTTACAACTAAAAAGTAATATAACTTTGAAATATCTACAATTCATTCATATGTCAACATATTATAATATACTGTAAATTCAGAAATTATTGCGTGCATTTATTATTGCGATTTTGTCATTTTAAACCAAAATGCGATTATTATTTTTGCGATACTGAGAAAAATTCCGCTTCATTCATATAAAAATATCCAAAATGCGAGTTTAAATTATTGCGACTACAACCCTGTCGCATTTTTCGCAATAATAAAAACATCGCAATAATTTCTGAATTTACAGTAAATAGTTTGAGTGATTTAAAAAACTTTTGGGTTTCTCAGACTGGAGAATGAAAGAAAAAATGGATTTACTGTGGAGGAAAAGAAAAATTTCAAACAGGATACCATTGAACATCATAATCCTTATGAAAATCTTCCTGATCCTTCAATAGCTGAAATGAGAGGCTGTGTACCTGGTACAAAGGTTCCAGGAGAGAAGGTATAGATGAACAGTTAGATCTCAAAATTGATAACATCCTACATGGAATTAACTTGTTTAAAACTTTTATAGACTTGGATGATTTTAACTTATATGATAAAGACACCTGTCTATTGTTTAGGATCATATAAACAAAATGTGGCATGATGGCTAAATAGAACAAGCAACCACCATATAACAAAGAAATAGGATTCACAAATCTGACTTCCAGTCAAGTTCCAGATGTATTACCTCAGTGGTCCTATATTAAGAGTATAGTATTGTAAGGTACTGGGGAATGTTATACTGAAACAAATAGGTATTAAATTGTGCGGTGTAATTTATAAGTAAATACTTAATTTGTGGCAAGACTGACACATATTTTATAATGATTTTTTACAATTGTGGCAGTAATCCACTATACTTATTACTATGATCACAAGTCAAAATTCAAGTTTTTACCAAATATTATCTTTTAAACTTAACGGTTGTGTTCTTACGCATAGTAACTTGGCTTGCAGCGAGCTAGAGAAACATTTTACATTTGAAATCAAAGATATGGCATTAATTTACTATTTTTTTATGGATTTCACAGGCCAAAGTTTCACTTTTTGCCAATAAATTACAGGGGGAGGCATTTCATTAGCTAAAACATAGTTTTACAAGTAAGGTGTGTACATATGTTGGTACAAAGGTGATATATATCCAGTAATGCAACTGATTTTATGTGAAAGCTCTGGAATTTGAAATGATTTTATCATTGTTTACATTTTTTGTGTACAAGTGTTACGGCAGGGAATGTATGTAATTACTCATGGATTACTTTCTTCATGCTATATATCATGTAATTCCCGTATTAAGGATCATTTCTGGTAACCAAATATTCATATTTAAACGTCTGATATGCCTGGTATACATAGGGAAATACTTTAACTGCAATTGTTTACTGACCGGCGATTTTGCCGTCTGCCATTTTGTGGGGAATGAAACGTTGATTTTATCTCTTTTGATACAAATTCGTCCCCTGGACAATTGATCTAATATTGCATTTTTAATACCACACATTTAATATTTTATAAGTATACCCTGCCGGACACAAATATATTGTAAATATTTAGATGGTTGTAATGAACTATGTTATATGTTATTTACTTTGTGTGTTCTTACGCAGATCGTCTGCTAAATCAATGCGCGCGCAGTGGTGTCCGATTGTTTATTTCAAGCTTCTTTATCGATATTTTAGATGCTATAGCTTTGTTTTAATATTTTATGTATAAGGACAATCATAGGACAACTCCAGATGATTTCAATTCTATGTTTTTCAATATCGTAATTTTGTATAGTTCCGGCTACCCGGAAAGGACAAGTAACCATTGGATTAGTATGTCACGTGACACTTACAATTTAGTATATAAACGTGTGAGCATTCAGTAATGGCAGATAGCCCAAAGTTTTGCTGGCGGCAAGTTTGAACCTAGAAAACAATAAATTTCCAAATAAAGCAGTAATAACCTTTAGGTGAGAATTAGGATAACATAATGAAGTTTAAATAGCCGTCTTTTGTACAGTAAGCTATCTCCCACCACGTCGGACACCACAAATATGTATTTTAGGATTTATTATTCAGTACACTTGAACGCTATTGTTTATTTATATAAAATCATATAATGTTATATGATTTTTTTTAACAGTTCAGCAAATAAAACTGTTAGCATTGAAAAGATCACTTTATTTTATCAAACTTGGATACATTCAAAAAGTATTTGCATTTACACTGGTAAAACAACTTGAGCTGGAGGACGCTCGTTCGAAATTAAAAACTATGGAAAGCCGTTAGCAACACAAATAGCACAGTAACAAATAAATACAAAGGAAGCCGTTTAATACACATACATTAACCAAACAGAGGAACTATATTTAAACACAAACTGAGGTGCTCCGGGGAGCAGATACTGCATTTTATGAGTGTTCGTATGTAAACTGCCCAGTATAGGACAGGATACTCTCGGGTGGCTTACAATTTGGTGTCAGAAGTGGGATGCTAAAATTCTAATTAGCATCCAGGATACGAACCTTGGAATAACCTGTCAACTTAACAATGTGGTTTAAGCCCGACGTGGTGGATTTACTGTACAAAAATAAATTATAACTAAAAAAATATGAAACAACAAATAAAATTAAAAGTCTTTATTTAGAATATGGCTGATGCTGGTAGGAACTCCCCAGACCCTGAAATAAATTTCCGTAGGGAAAGGGATTTAGATGACTTAGGACAAGGGGATCAAATACATACTGATGACAATGACGACTTTGATAGGGAATCTATTTTACAAGGTCATGGTGATGAAATAGCTCAGAGACCTAAAGGACGGGATGAATATCAGAGACATGATTTTGATGATAGGAATGATAGGGGTAATCATAACATGCAACCAATTGGCCCACCAAAGGTAACACTTAAACCTGAACCCTTCTCTGGGAAGGATTGTTGGGAGGAATACTTGTCGCATTTTGAGGACTGCGCTGAATTGGGACAATGGGGAAATCGTACAAAACTGTTGTTTTTGGCAGCTAGCTTGAGGGGTCAAGCAAGGACATACTACATGAGCTTGTCTCCTGACGACAGGCGCACATACCAAATGCTAACACAAAAGTTAGATCAAAGGTTTGGGAGTTCAAAACACAAAAATCGTTGGCTCTCAAAGTTAGAGATGCGCAGGCGCATGCCAGGGGAAAGCATAGCTGAAGTGGGGGATGACATAAGGCAATTAGCGCAAAAGGCGTACTATGACCTTGACTTAGCAGCGCAGGAGTCTCTAGCATTAAACCAGTTGTTTAAGGTAATACCTGTAGAAATGAAATGTCGCTGTATTGACAAGGAATGTCAAACAATAGCAGATGCTGTTGATGTTATAGAAAGATATGAGTCAATACTCGGGGATGGAGACAAAAAGAAATCAACAATCAGAGCTGTGGAGTCGAAGGACATCGAAGGACACATGAGTGAAAAGGATTATCAGAGCAATTTGCAGGCTTTACAAGATAGGATAGCAAAGCTGGAACAAGGACACGGGAATCGGGATACAAAGAGGGCAAATACTGGCAGGTGTTACAGTTGCAACTCACCAGACCATTTTATGAGGAACTGTCCACACAAAAAGAACCAAAGAGCAAGAGGGAACTTCCAGGGCAACCAAAGACACAATACCTCTTTTAATAATAACCAGGGAAACGACAGAACGCTGGCTCAATAGGTCGTGAGTTAGTGACAGAAGATAAAAGGCCTGATATAAAGGGAGAAAAACATGTCCGGACAGGACATATAGGGGAAACAGATGATAATTGGGATAATGGGTTTTATACAAATGGGTTAATCTATGGGTTTCCTGTCAACTTTTTAATTGACAGTGGCTCAACAGCGTCAATATTATCTATTGAGGTTTACGAAAAATTGCCTTTAAATGTTTGGTGTTCTTTAGTGCCAAACAAGTCCGAAGTATTTGACGTTAATGGCAACAAAGTTTTTGCTATTGGATCAATCACATTAGAACTAAAGCTTGGTCTAGAAAATTTCAGTCAAAATTTTATGATATGTAATATAAATCAGGATGGAATACTTGGACAGGATTTCTTACTTAAGGAAGTAAGTAAAGTTAATTATCAGCGAATGGTCTTACACACGATCCACAACCAGGAAATACAATGTTGGATTGGAGGGAAGGCAAATATGATTTGCAGAGTAGAAATTAAAGACAACATGACAATTCCTCCAATGACGAGTACTATGATGCCTGTAGAAATACCGGGTGTAAATCATTTAACAGAATACGGATTAATAGAGGGCACGACAGGAACAGCAAAGTCTACATTAGCAATACCTGGGATTATAAATACAAAAGATCAAGCACACTTTGTTAATGTTGTCAACTATGGTGACGACGAAGTTAAACTGTATAAAAAGGAAACAATAGGAACATGTGAATCATATACTGAGCATGATTTGAAATCAGAGCAGATTAGAACACTACAAGAAGATTGCTTTACAGCTGGTGAAGAAATACCAGAACATCTTATTGACTTATTAAAAAGGAGTTCAACTTATTTAAATGAAAACCAAAGACAACAGCTTTCCAGACTCCTTTCACAGTACCAAAATGTCTTTTCACGGACAGATGATGACATAGGGAGGACAGACCTTGTAACACATAGAATAAATACAGGAAATGCAATACCCTTTAGGCAAAGATCTAGACGTATGCCACTTGGAAAGCAAGAGATGGAAAAATCAGAAGTCAACCGGATGTTGGACAAAGGAATCATTGAACCATCTTCTAGTCCTTGGGCATCGAATATTGTCCTTGTAATGAAGAAAAATGGCAGGCCTAGGTGCTGTGTTGATTACAGAATTTTGAATGACGTCACTAAAAAGGATTCCTACCCGATTCCGAGGGTAGACGAGTGCCTAGACTCGCTCGCTGGGGGGAAATTCTTCGGGTCAATGGACCTAAATTCAGGATTTTGGCAAATTGGCATGGCTCCCGACGACAAGGAAAAGACCGCATTTCTGACAAGTTTAGGGTTATATCAATTCACTGTCATGCCCTTTGGACTTGCAAATTCCCCATCTACTTTTGAGCGTCTTATGGAAAATGTTCTCAGAGGGCTACAGTGGAAAGAACTATTACTCTATATGGACGATATCATATCAGTAAGTTCAACATTTGAAGAGGGTCTTGGAAGGTTAGAAAGAATCTTTATACGCCTACAAAATGCACATCTAAAATTGAAACCTGCCAAATGCATTTTCTTTCAAAAACAAGTCAGGTTCCTTGGACATATCGTGTCTGAGGATGGAATTTCCACCGATCTAGAGAAAACAAAAGCTATAGATGACTGGCCAATCCCCAAATCTGCAAAACAGGTGCGCAGCTTTTTAGGACTTTGTTCTTACTATAGGCGATTTGTTAAGGGATTTGCAGCAATTGCAAGACCAATGCACAAAATTTGCGAAAAGAATAGCC